CAGCCAGACAGGCACGTCCCTAAGACACACACACTCACACTCACACGCACACACACACACACACACACACACACACACACACACACACTCACACACACCCACACACACCTGTCTCTGGTGCGAGGGCTGGGTTTTCCTTGAGCAGGGTCATGAGCGGCTGGCGGTAGCATGCATCTGTGATGTGCAGGCATTCGAGGAAGTTTCGCTCTGTTTCCACGAGCTCCTGATAACAGCACATGCGCCGCTCACTACGCTGCTTCGCCTTGCGCTTGAGTTCCCTGTGCGAACATCATTGTCATCATGGTCGCGGATGTATGGTGCGTGACAAGCACATGAAGGTGCGCGCAATACACGGAAGGAAAACGGACCAAGGCAACACGACACGGCTGGAGAATGACACAGCCGACACAGACGCACAGACACACTGCAGAGTTGCGGAGTGCGTCATGCATACCCGTAATGGCTTGAGCGCACAACGGAGCTGTAGATGTCTGCTTCGTGGTCCACAACAAGGGACGATGCTGTGTCCTCTGCGAGGCCGCTTGCACCGCCATCCTATCGCAACACACGCACACACGCACAAAGAGGAGAACAGTTAAAACATGCTTGATATCTGTGTTGGTGTATGTATGAGTGTGCGCTTGTGTGAACGCGAGACGCTGCGATGGACACGTACCGGCGGGGTTGTTGGCGATGCGGGCACGATGAGGTCGATGGGCTGTGACGAATCGAGCTTCTCCAGGAGCTCAGACAGGTTCTCGTACACGCTCTCGTCCTCATCATCGTCATCGTCATCGTCATCTGCAACAGCAACAGATGCGCGTCGATCTGCAGGAAACCGCCTGGGTGTTGGTGATGGAGAAGGATGTGCGTGCATGTGCGTGCATGCGTGTGTGTGCGTGCATGCGCGCGCGCGTGTGTGTGTTGCGATGTGGCATGGAATGTGTGAGGAAGAAGACTAGGAGAACAAGGAGGAGGAGGAGAAAGACATAAAGACAGCGGCCAGCAAGATGTCGGAACGCAGACAGGCGGAGAGCAGACAACAAACTTACACGCACACACGCACACACGCACACGCACACCCACACACTCTCTCAACGCACGGAAGGCCTTGCTGTATGGAGGCTGGTGTGGTCGAGAGTTGGGAGAGGGTGCTGACGACACGTTCAAAGTGCACGCCATTAAACAAGTCCTCAGCCTCGAAGAGAGACTCCTTGGCCATGCCAACGTCCGAGCAGTACGCCAGGAACCGATGGATGTTATCCACGCACAAGAACTGTGTGTGCAGGAGAAGAGGAGGAGGGGAAGGTGTGTGGGAATTGTACGGGGGTGTGAATCGGAGGGCGATTCCTGCGCAAACCGCGAACACAGGCAGACACACAGACAGACACACAGGCAGACACACAGACAGCGACACACACACACACACACACACACACACACACACACACACACACACACACACAGAGTCATGTAACCTCGCGTCGAGGCTGTTGGTTGAAATCCACGCGCTGGTCTTGGGACAGGAGCTGAACCAGTTGACAGAGCCGCGTACCGTCACGAAGCTCACTGGCAAGTTCAACGGGGCAAGAGGGTAGCCCAGGAAGCACCTTGGCAGCACACAGGTAATCGGCAGCCTCCCTCCATGTTGGAGCCGGGCCAGGATGGGGTGGCGGTGGTTCAGTTGCCTGGGTTCCCATCAGAGACGACGGGCGGCTGTGCGCATGCAGGTGCGGGTTATTCTGGCGCATGGGTGGAAGCGCCATGGGAGGCCGTTGTCCCAGACTGCCCACGGAGCTGCGGACGCTCCCAGTGTCTGAAGAGTCACTTCCCCTGTCCATGGTGCACGCTCAAACACACACTGCGAAGAGCACAGGGTCACTGGCTAACTGTGGTCGCTGCCGACGCCGTTGTCGTTGTCGACGCTGTTGCCGTAGCCGTTGTCGTTGCCGTTGTGGGGCGAAAGAGGAAGGACAGCAGCCAAACGTTCCACTGCCGGCGCACACACGATCTTATGCAGCAGAACCAGCGGTGTGGGGACGGGAAGTGACCACGATGGATCGCTAGAGAGTGTGAGTCACACACACACACACACACACAGAGTGAGTGAGTCAAGGGGGAGAGGAACCAGCCCGCCAGCTCCACTGACGACCCAGCCGGGAGAAGACGCTGAGTTGGTGGCTGACGAGGGAGGTTTGGTTTGGCTGTTCTGTCAAGGTGCGGAGCCAGCCACACAGCAGCAGCGAAACCAAAACACACACACAAAACAAAACAAACTGCACAGCCAGCAGGCATGAGTTGTTTCGGGCGGCTGGCGTGCCCACTGCACAGATTTTGTCCTGTCGTTGTTGTGTGTCTGCGACGTCGCCAGCCAACCAAACAAGTCGTGCTTGCACGCAAGGAGTTTGGGGGAAAACACAAACAAAACAAGCTGCACTGCTTGCTTGCGAAGCGCTGTCCTCACGGGCTTGCTCCAGCACACTCAGCCATCGCCTTCCTCTCACACCCATCCTTGTTCTCGTGTTCTTCCTGTGCTTTGCTGTCTCTCTTGTCGCCGTGCTGGCAGCATGGTTCGCAGCGGGTTGGCGACGTTTGTGCTGCTGTTGGCAGCGGCGGGGCTTATTACGCTGTTGTCGGCTCAGGCGGCGACTGCACAGCCGTTTTATGCGGTGGTGGCCAGTGGCCAAACTCGCCCAGTGAATGCCTTTGACGGCGACTCGCTTCTGTCAAAGCTCGTGGGCACAACGCAGGCGCTATGCGAGGACGAGTGCACGCAACTGCCGGAATGCGCAGGGTACTACTTCCTCACAAACCGCAGAGACCAGGTCGTGTGCCGTCTCTTGTCCACCGTCAGCGACGAGTTTGAGCCCACAGACATCACAGGCATAACAGGCTTGAAGCTCCTGACGACCACAACCACGACAACGTCCACGACCACGACGACGTCAACAACCACGATGACCACGACCACAACGACGACGACGACGACGACCACGACCTCCACGACCACCACAAGTACAAGTACAACTACCACAACCACAACAAGTACAACTACCACAAGTACAACTACGACCACAAGTACAACTACCAGTTCAACCACAACAACCACCACGACTACCACAAGCACAACTACGACCACAAGTACAACTACGACCACAAGTACAACTACGACCACAAGTACAACTACGACCACAACAACAACAACCACCACGACTACCACAAGCACAGCCACAACAAGTACAACTACCAGTTCAACCACAACAACCACCACGACTACCACAAGCACAACTACGACCACAAGTACAACTACGACCACAAGTACAACTACGACCACAACAACAACAACCACAAGTACAACTGCATCTACCACCACAAGTACAACCACAAGTACAACCACCGGTACCACCACTATGACGACAACGACAACCACAACAACAACAACAACAACAACAACAACAACAACAACAACAACAACAACAACAACAACAACAACAACAACGACAACGACCACAAGTACCATAACGACAATGACGACTACCACAAGCATGACTACCACAAGCATGACTATCACCACGACAACCACCAGTACAACCACCACGACAACCACCAGTACAACCACCACGACAACCACCAGTACAACCACCACGACAACCACCAGTACAACCACAAGTACAACCACAAGTACAACCACAAGTACAACTACAAGTACAACCACAACAACCACCACGACAACCACAAGCACAACTACATCTACTACCACCACCACCACAAGCACAACAACCACAAGTACCATAACGACAATGACGACCACCACCACCACGACTACCACAAGCACGACGACGACCACGAGTACCATAACGACGACAACAACCACCACGAGTACAACCACAAGTACAACTGCATCTACCACCACAAGTACAACCACAACAACAACAACGACAACCACAAGTACAACTACGACCACAACAACCACCACGACAACCACCACGACAACCACCAGTACAACGACGACCACAACCACCACAACAACCACGAGTACAACAACAACAACAACAACAACAACAACAACAACAACAACAACAACAACAACAACAACAACAACAACAACAACAACAACAACAACAACAACAACAACAACAACAACAACAACCACCACCACCACCACGACTACCACAACTACCTCGACGACAACGACGACAACAAGTACCATAACGACGACAACAACAACCACAAGTACAACTACGTCTACAACCACAACAACCACAAGTACAACTACATCTACCACCACCACAACCACCACCACGACAACCACAAGTACAACTACATCTACCACCACCACAACCACCACCACGACAACCAAAACTACCACGACTACCACGACCACCACAACCACCACCACGACAACCACAACTACCACCACCACGACCACGACCACTACCACAACCACAACCACAACCACAACAACCACAACCACAACCACAACCACAACAACAACGACGACGGTCAGCACAATCACGATTTCGCAACAAGCTCGTGCTCTCACGACACTCTGTTTGACAGCAAGTACGAAAGACAATGTCATCAGAGAATGGCTGCAATCTGGTGGTGGGCTAACAGCGACCACGACCTGCCAACGTACGTTCCCCATGCTCCTGCCCCTTTTCTTCTTCCTGCCGCAGACACACAGACACACAGACACACACACAGACACACACACACACACAGACACACAGACACACAGACACACACACACACACACACACAGACACACACACACACGACACACACAGACACACACAGACACACAGACACACACACACACACACACACACAGACAGACAGACAGACAGACACACACATACACACACATTCTCTCTCCACCTAGAGCTCCAACACCTATCTTCTTCCTCTCTAGCTCTCGGCACCTTTCACCATGCAATCAAGCGAAAAGTTTCACGTCATATTCTCCATGGTTGCTTGCAGGCAACGCATCAGCAGTGACTGTGGATGCATTTTTGACGGAGGAAGACTTGAGCAGCATCACGTGCGAGCAGACACAGGTGTTCTCGGTCCCGCTTCAGCTCAGCGATGCGTGCGGGACCCTCCGCACGGCCAGCGCTGACTTGGTGCTCTGGGCTCCGTTGGCGTACTCCCGCTCGCCATCATCGGACGTGTGCGTTGGGTACAAGATTGCTGGCTCCAGCACCCCTTGCACGTGCGCCTCGCTTGACTGCTACGCGTGTCTCGTGGACAGGCCCGACATGTGCCTGCGCTGTCGCAACGGCAAGTATGCCATCAACGGCGCGTGCGCTGCTGCATGCCCGGACCATCTCCAGCCCAGGGGCAGCGGCGGCTACGGCAGAACGTGCATGCCACCGCACGTGTGTACCGACGGTGTGACAGACCGCAACGCTGAGTGCACATGTGAACCCGAAGAGTACGGCTGCCGCACGTGCAACATCACCGTCTCCGCCAATGACGACGAGGACGATGACGGCGTCGCGTGTACCGCGTGCGAAGACACCCACTACCTCGTTCGCAGCCACTGCCAAACGGCCGCCACCTGCAGCGGCTATCGCATTGACGACTCTCCGACCAACGAGCCTTGCTCGTGCGACGACAGGGACTGCTATCGCTGTGCCGTGACAAGGGATGGCCCACCGCAGTGTTCGCGCTGCCGCAACGCCAAGTACTTCTACGACGGAGTGTGCCACGACGCGTGCCCAGTGGAGGAAGGGGTTGTCAACGCCTTGTTTGTCGGCAACTACGGGCGCGATTGCCAGCCGCCGTTCACATGCCGTTCGTACCGCGTGATCACGCCTGGGCATCCCCGCCAGGGCAAGGGGTGCCGATGCAGCAACTGCTTCGAGTGCACGTTTGACGAGAACGGGGAACAGTGCACCCGCTGCCGCGACTCCCTCTACCTGCACGATGGCAAGTGCATCGAGGCCTGCCCGGCAAACACAACCGCCTACGGCATTGGCGGGTATGGGCGGGAGTGCCGTGCTCCATTCCAATGCACAGGCTCGCGCGACGCAGATGGAAATGCCTGCAGATGTGGCGTTGATTACCGCTGCTTTCAGTGCACGTGGCAAGCTGGAAATGAGCCGACCACCGCTACGTGCTCCATATGCAGGTGCGTGTACATGTGTTGTTTGTGTTGCACTTGTGCTGCTTGTGCACGCGCTCGTGTCTTGTTTGTGTTTTGATGTCTCTTCTCCGGCATGGCGTATGCATGCCCCAGCCAGCCTCTCCATTACCCTGTTCTGATGCATTTGTTACGTTGCCGTGCTCGTGGTCATGGTTGTTGTTCTACGCATTGTGCGCTTCCTGCGTCCCACGACCTTCGTGAACAGATCGGGATACCTGCACGAGGGCGTGTGCGTGCAGCGCTGCCCAGACGGGTTTGCACCAGACAGGACCTTCGGTAGTCCCTATGGACGCGAATGCGTGGCGGCCGAGTGAGAGGAGCTGGGGTGGGGATTGACCATCTTGACACCTCAATGCACTGCTCACCCGGTCAGCACCCCTTCTTCCCTTCAATCTGCTCGTGGTTGTTCCGCCTTGTTCATTTTCTTCTGTGTTGTCCAGTGTCCATCAGTCCGCCTCCAACACCTCTGCCTGTCATTTTGTTACCTAGTTGAGGGCGCAGAGAGAAAAACAAAGCATGCCACTTTGCATGGTTCCCTGCCGCCCTTCCCGTTCTGTCGTTTCTTGAATGTGACATGTCCTGGTCCTCTCCTCGCCCTCTATCTGCTCTCTGCTTCTTCGCCCCAACGCTCATAGCACACCATCTTGAAGTAGCTGGTCTTCGTTCGTGCGCGTTCTAATGTTCCCGTGTTACTGTTACTGTGGGTTGGTCTCTTCCCAGCCTCAAGTGTTGTGTTGCAGCCACCATTCCTTAACGTCTCCTCACACGACCTGACCCTTTCACCCAAAGCACGTCTTCTCTTGTGGACTGACTTGTTTGCGCTGCGGATGTACGTGGCTGCAGAGTGTCTTGTCTTTACTTGGGAACACGTTCACCCACTGCCATAAACTTGATTGTACACAAATTGTCACCAAAAGCTCCGAGCAGCATGTAACGGGCAGCTCGGCGCAAAGGCAACAAAGCTACAGAAAGAACGCCAGTCTGTACAACGCTGGCATCATCATCATCATCATCATCACCACCACCACCACCACCACCACCACCACCACCACCACCACCACCACCACCACCACCACCACCACAACAACAACAACAACAACAACAACAATACCACCACCACCACCACCAC